GGCACATAGAACATGGAGCATATAAACTCAAAAACGTAGAAACTGAAAAAGAGTATTTTTGATGATCGGAAGCTATGCATACATCTAGGGGTTTATTTAAATACATACATACATCAACGCAAAACTTTAATTAACAAAAAAAAAACATCAACACAAATATAGAGCTATATATACCTGCAGCCTTTAGATCTTTAGGTTCTTTGAGGATCTAAGTGTATCTTTTTTCCACTTTCAAGGGGTTTTTTCTTACCTTTGAAATTTGCTTCCAAAGTAGATAGAGTAGGATTAACTCTTTAGTCAATGAGAGGGATATATTAGGGTTTTAGCCCTCATAAAGAAAGGGGGAAACCCTAATTTCAAGAAGAGGTGAGAAAGATTTGTATAGAAGCTGAGAATTTAAAGAAACCAAACAAACAAATAAAAAGGGAAAAAATGAAAGAGAAATTTTTTTAGTGGAGAAGAAGGAGAAAGAGCAAAAGACAAAGTGTAATAATAACAAATGAACAATTAATAAACAGGAAGAGGAGGAGAGGGTGTGTCCCTTAAAGAATGACTATGACATTTCATCTCAAGAATAATAGTAATATCATTCACTGTGCTCACTTTTGTCTCCCATTAAATTAATTCTTTAACTTTTGTTTTTGTAAATTTTCTTCACGCATTTAATGATAACAATATTCCCTAACAGTTACAAAATCAACCCTAAGCTAACTAATCAATAATCAATGTGTATGTATATCTACCCCTATATATGATCTCTCTATATACTTGTCACGCTGATGGCCAAATTAAGACTTGGAACCTCGTCAAGAAACCCTAAACATCTCCATCAATCTCGACTTTAAACATGATCACTATAAACCATGATTTACACTGAAGATTAAAGAATATGAGAGTTTTTTCATGACTCAATCCCAAAAAACTTTATAGTTAAACGTGTTCGAACTTGAACAAAACAATTCAAGAAGGATGATGTATTAGAAATGATTTTCGATACAAGAAAAAATCACGTGGTAATGTGCAAAAACTAGTCGAAAACTCTTCCAAGCTTCATGAAATAGTGCAATGGCCATTGGACCAGTGTGGAGTTTACAAGCGGACGTGGGAGAGTGGCGGTTAGTGTGTTACACGTTTGATAGTGGTACAAGTTTTGTGAATGCTAATAAAGTTGTTGTGTTCACCTCACCTTGTTTTACCGTAGCAAAAGTCTTCTCATCCTGAAGTTAATAGTAGTTAATTCAATATTCATTATTTAGTGTGACAAAAAAATTATTCAATTTAAAAAAAAAAAAATTATTCAACTTCATTTATTGGAAATATGTATGGAACAAGAATAAACTCTTGAGACCTCAAAGTAGCTAGGTAGAGACAGAAAATCAGTAAAAGTCATGAGATTTCATGTGAACTCAAGTCAAGTTTTAATAGGTTTTGTAAAATCAAACTTTTGTGTAATGGAAAACAAAACTATGATGGGGGTCCAAAGGGTTTTGAAGCTATAGCTAGGGTTAGTATCATACCAACAGTTACTTGTGTTAGAGTATATATTATTGGAAGTGACAATCGATTGTGACATTTGTAACAGTCTCTTCTTCTTATTTAGTTTTTGC